ACATCTTAATACACGAAAAGTATAAACATGTTGAGAACTTTCATCTCAGATCAAGAATATGCGGTCCTCCTTTATCACCATATCAGCCCTTAACTATCCATTGCTGAATAAAACCCTATTAGGCGGATTTGCCAGCAGTTGCCACGCTTGGCAGGAGTATTGGCAACCACTGTTAGGTCTTGGAGATGTTTTAAGAAGGGCGCTGTTGCCCATTCCTCGACTATTAAGCTCCCTTAGTTTTCATTTACGACACCCACGGGAAAGGAAGCGGTGGCCAATTCTATGCTGCTATCACACTGCTATATCTTCATTATGCAGTTAGTTGAAAGTTGGTACATATATCATAGTCACAATGTAAAATGCCCCGCAAAATTGTATGCGCAGAAACGTAGGAATGCTGTACCTATCAAGCTGTTGTGGTAACAAACACCATAGGTATTTCAACATGGTATACAACAAATTGTATGGAATACCGTATGACCCACAACGCAACTTGAATCCAGATTAGCTTAGGCCGGGGTCAATAAATCGCGGAGAAGTCTAGGTTCGATTCTCGCGCCGTCATTGTACTGCCGCGCGGTTTGGATGCTGGTTGACTTATTGTGACTTTCATGTTGTTTATTATTGACTAATATTTAGCTGCGACATTGTCCGCGTGACCGGGTTTTAAGTTAGTATGCAGGCTTAATTTTTTTTGTCGTTTTTCGACAGGTTTTCTTGGGAAAATGTTTAGGTTTCGTATGTTTGGGTAGAATAGTGTCTTAAAAGAATGCTAATAATTGCGACTTCACCCTGTATATACGATACTGTTTTATGTAGCATTAGCATTAATATTACGAGTATTAATTCTGTTCAGAACACAAAACTATAACATCATTTCATCATCATCATCTCAGCCATTATCCGTACACTGCTGAACATAGGCTTCCTTCACAGGTCATTGGGGGATTTTGCCACGCTTGGCAGGCGGGTTGGTAACCGCAATGAGTCTTTTGGTGATGTTTTAAGAAGGACGCTGCTGCCCATTCCTCGACCATAAGTTCCCTTAGTCCCCTCTAACGACACCTATGGAAAAGGAAGGGGTGATCAATTCTATACCGGGACCTACACGGCAACGTAACATTATTTAATATCTTTTTATTTGAAAATTGTGGATTTTTTAATATGTTTAAATTTATGATTATTTTTATGTGGCCATACTAAAATGAAATTGTCATATGGCAAGTTTTCGTACTCGTCTGTTCCCAATTCTGTCCGTCAAGTTGTACACCGTATAAAATTAATTTCAATAAATTATTTTCCATAAAATTTCCCAACGGACCTATTGTTTCCCCAATAGCCTGTTGTGTGGTCCTTCGAGCCGGATATGAACCAGCCATCTACGGATCATAAAAAACTTCAAAGCTTACTTATTATTTTCCTAATGTCTATGAAAAAATAAAACGTGCGGATCTAATCTTTAATTACAATTTACGAAGCGTCATAGAATTAATAATACCTATACAAATATGATTTACCTACTTCTTTAACTATAATTTTATTGATGTTGTTTAACATGTTCTTCTGTATTTATTGTAAACAATGTATATTTTTAATGTAAACACATATGTAATGCAGTTAAAAATGATAAAATAAATAAAATAAAATAAGCATGTACGGAGGAGTGTAATTACGTATAATATTTACTTGATGTGTGTCGTTGCATTAGTTGCTTTAAAAGTGGTTAATGATACCTATTTAGGTCGAAAAAAGGGACTTTATGAAATTAATCGAAATATAGTATGTTCTTAAAAAAAAAAAACAAAAAATCTTCTTCATTTAAAAAAGTTAAAAATATTAGGAGGTTGAAATTCTTTAGACATTCTTCAAAAGGGGGGTAAAGAGGTTCCTTCAGGGTCGGCAACGCGCGCGTAATACCTCTGGTATTGCAGGCGTTCATAGGCTACGGTAACCGCTTACCATCAGGTGGACTGTATGCTTGTTTGCCACCTCAGTGGTATAAAAAAAAAAGACATTTTCAACTCGTATTACTTTGTGAAAAATGTCTAGTTTCACATAATACTTTATGAAAATATTAAAGTGCCAATATTTTTGATTTTTTTTCCTTAAGGTCTTCTTAGTCTTGTATATTTTGATTAATGGTATCAGAACTTTCTCCAATTTTTTTTTATGCAACTTCGAATTTCAAACAAGCCGACGGCCCACCTGATGGAAAGTGGTAACCGTCGCCTATAGACATGAGCAGTACCATGGACATAACAGAGTATACTGTTTCGCCCATGATACCCCCATGCGTTGCCATTCCTGAGGACTCAGATGTTATTCCTCTGTACCCTGTAAATTCACACCATATCTCACCCTTCAAACCGAAACACAGCCATGCAAACACAACTGCTTCACGGTTGAAACACGAATGGGTCAGAGGTACCCAAGCAATCGACTTTTGTACAAAGTCTCCCTCTGGTAAAACTTTCTCCAATGAATTCTATATGCTAACTTCTTAGAGGTCAGAAATCAATAGAATTCAATAGAGTACTAGTTCACCTACATAGTTCGAAAGCGTTTAGGTGCAGAGATAAATTACAAACATTTATAGACAGGCAAAAGAACGTAAACCCCGTTACGATAATGGCGTCTCCGATAATATGAGTTGTAAACATACAATCAAACTTGATTCGCGATGACTCCAATATGCATTCGCGATGAGTCATGTGCTGCAACGATTGCACTCGGTATGGGCAATTTGCCATCAATCTAGCCGTTTAATGAGAAGGTTTTGTTTGTGATTATGTTGGGTGCAGACGGGCGGTTCGTATTGTACGTTTCAAATTTGAATATTATAAAAGTATTTACAAAAAATTTGCTCTAGTCTTAATGAAATAAAAATATGTATGAAAGCAGCATTACAAGTAAGACAAAGATGCAACAATGGAAGTATGGGACCATTCTCAACTTCGATTATTAAAACTAATAAAGAAATCAGATCAGCGTTGGTTTGAAAATATAACACAACCTGCAAAAAAAAATGAGTTCGAAATGTGTTCCTTAATTTTTAAAATAAATTCTTGTGGTAGTTTATGGGTGAGATTTGTATCTATTCAACAATAGACAACATGATGAAACAAGTTTATTTCCCAAGTAAAGTAGGTATAAAAACCAATAACTACAAAAAGGAGGTCCTCCTGTTTTGAATTCGGTTGATTATTGTCACTTCAAATGATATTAATTAAAAAACACATCTATGTAAAACAACCATTTAAAGCAAATAAACGAATAAATTAATTGAAATGTTGCTAATGAAATACCTATTTGTAACATGCGTATGCACATGTCACAAATAGACGGTTGAAACGTAGCGTTTTATTAAAAACGCTACGTTTCAACCGTCCGTCTAGTCGATACATGGACGCATGGCGTCTTGTAATTCGACACGTTTCGAGATCCGTTGTCTGAATTAGTGAAATCGTCAGGATTTAGCGAGACGAACTTGTAACGGTGCCCCGCCCGTGATACACGCTTTGAAGGTGGCCGCAATTAGGTGTGCATCTATCTATCATCAGGGGGAGACTTTGTGCCAAAGTCGTTTATTTGGGTATCTCTGTTCCATTAGTGTTTTTGCCGTGAAGGATGGGTTATGGCAGAGAAATTCCAGGTTTCACTTCCATCCTTTATAGGATAACAGAGCGATAAAAAGCTTCAAATAAACATTACATTGACTAAACAATATTTATTTTATTTACTTCTATAAAATTTTGTTAAATACTTTTTAGTATAGAGAGTGTTTTAAATTATTTTTATAGAAAGACTGTATTTTTGTAATAAGTAAATAGAAATAATTGGCAATGAATAATACGTACCCACATTTTTTTTTCATTAAATTATAAGGTTCTTACGGACAGATAGACATATACGTTAGATTTGTGTTAGAAACAAAATATATAAACATAGAAAACAGCTGAAATATCGAAAATAAAACACAGTCTAAAATTTTATAAATAATCCCGGACGGATATCAGTTTCAAAGAGAATTATTTTGGTTTTATTATATACGTACAGGTAATAAAAGAAACTGGTTTTGAAAATAAATTATTCGCAGCAAAGAGAGATCTTATCAATTCTTACGTTATGAACTATATATTATATACTGTGATGCCCATGGGACTTCCATGCGTTGCTATTCCTGAGGACTGAGGTAGTATGCATCTGTACTCTGCCATATCCCACTCTTTAAATAGAAACACTGCCATGCAAGTACATCTGATTCACGGTATAAACACGAATGGGATAGAGGTACCCAAGCAGACGACTTATTTTTATGAATACTGTTACTAACGATATACGAACTATACTTGTAGTCTACAATTAAGTATACAGGCGGAAAACAATATCATATGCATCTTTTTAATATTTGGTATTTTTACCAGAGGGAGACTTTGTACAAAAGTCAATTGCTTGGGTACTTCCGTCCCATTCGTGTTTCAACCGTGAAGCAGTTGTGTTTACATGGCTGTGTTTCGGTTTGAAGGGTGGGATATGGCGTGAATTTACTGGGTACAGAGGAATAACACCTGAGTCCTCAGGAATGGCAACGCATGGGAGGTATCATGGACGAAACAGTATACTCTGTTATGTCCATGGTACTGCTCATGTCTATAGGCGACGGTTACCACTTTTCAACAGGTGGGCCGTCAGCTTGTTTGCTATTCTAAGTAGTATAAAAAAAAAATGTATCTATCTCGTAGGGTTCAGCCTGCGTTTGCAATGTAAGCGCAAAAAATGTGTCTATTTATGATATCACATTAGAAACCTCTAAAATTATCAGTGTTTCTCTACAATATTGTGCATGTATTATACATACAAACCTTCCTCTTGAATCATTCTATCTACTAAAAAAGCACCGCATCAAAATCCGTTGCGTAGTTTCAAAGATCTAAGCATACATAGAGAGAGACATCGGGAAGTGACTTTCTATAATGCAGTGATCATGTCAATAGTCTTACCTCATTTCGGAGGGTGGACGGTAGGCGGCACTGGTGACGTACACGTCAGAACCGGAGTCGGCGCGAGGTGAGCCGTTCGGGTGGGACCGTCGACCGTTCCGGTGATCACCGTTCCGATGATCACCGTTCCGGTGGTCGCCGTTTCGGTGTTCACCGGAAGGTGATCGGGTTCTCTCGTCCATTGTCTGAAATAATGGCTTTGGGTCAGTGGATACCTACACTTAGGGGCGGTCGAAATTGTTCTAAGTCCTGGAACGTTGTAAAACCAAAGTTGACCCTCTCGAGAAACTTTATTTTTATGTGCGTATAAAAGTGATAATATTGCGACATCGAAGTCCTTAGCCCATAGTACCATTAAGAGCTGAACTATACTCTAACTATGATTTAATTTACTTCTGTGACATTTTTACTTCATCACTAATGATCACGTGCATCAAATTGAAACATTTGAAAATATTTATAATAAAATAATAATAAAAAAAAAACTAATTAGGTATTATGTTCACTTGTTCTCTCTACCCTTCAAATACACCTACGGCCAAAAAATAAAAAAAAAAGCAGACGAATTGAGAACTTGCTCAAATGTCTTCACTTTTGCTTAAAAAATATTAGATCCGACGCGTAAACTACTGCAATGCGCTATAGAGTTATTCCAGAATTTCCCATTATGAATAAATACCCAATATAAATTCACAGTGCATTTTCTCGCAGGAGCCGTCTCTGGCGCCATTGGTTTCAAATCCACGATTCTTCAAGAATATATGCGAGGTCCTTATGCTAAATAACCTTTAGATTATAAATATTTAAAGAGCTTAGCAATCTGTATATAGTTTTAACTGTGCCCTCGTGTCTACATCTTTATCTGTGAAACCACAGTTTCATTTTCAGTATATATATATATATATATATATATATATATATATATATATATATATATATATATATATATATATATATATATATATATATATATATATATATATATATATAAATGTAAATTTCATAGTAATCGGCCTTTACCTATTAATAAACAAACTGTAAACAATCTATAACAAACAAACAAACTTACATTCAAATTTTTTATATTAGTAAGAATTTATTTTTTGAACTTATTATCAATATAATCAATACTGTCGATAGTATTGCATACCGAGTCGATTATAATCGAATGAATAGCGTAAAATCTTCTTTTTTTTCTAATTCCAATTTCAAATTGTTATTGTCCTTACACTATCGATTACATCGATATTATATATTAATTAACGATTGATTCAGGCCGCACTATTGCACGCCATTCGCGGTAGTTTTCGATAGTCGTTACTCCATGAATACCACGCTAAGTTTAGCTGAACAATAATCAATTTACTGCCATTTAATTTGCAATAAAGATGTGTTATGATTGGGCACTTTATGTTGCTGTTTCCATTGAGGTCGTGTTATACGCGTGGAAATACCTAACAATACTATTTCAATACATGTGTACACATTAAATTAATGCGGCAATGCGTAAGAGCTTAATTCTAAATGGAAGTTTCTTTGAGTATACTACATACATTAGTCGTGTCACAGATAATATACTACAGTCTTGGCATAAAATAGGCTACGACTAAGGTAGGGCGAGGGATGGACAGCGACGTTCCTCTTAAAACATCTCTAAAAGCCTAACTGCGGTTGCCAATCCGTCTGCCAAGCAACTACTTGCATAACCCCCTAAGGGGGAGGTTTATGTTCAGCAGTGGACAGTTAAAGGCTGATATGGTGACGATGATGCTACATTCATACAGCCCTCGCTTATTTCAATAGTAATAATATATTGTGAATGCAGAAGTTTGTGAGAATGGATGTATCATAAATTAATTTCACAATATTTTTGACTTTCATTATTAATTACATATTTAGTTTATGTTGGTCTCTAGAATAAAGATTTCCCTGTGATTTTTTTTTTATAGAACGGTTTAGAGAAATGGTGCTTCAGTATTGACCGCGTTGTCTAATTATCGTTTAATTTATTTGTATTTTATTTTATTTGGGAAACAAAAAGTACAATTAACAGACAAAATAATACATAATAAACATTCAGTAAGAAATAAAGTTACCATTAGGATTACTAGAGGGAGACTTCGTACAAAAGTCGTTTGCTTAGGCACCTCTGTCACATTCGTGTTTCTACTGTGAAGCAGTTGTGTTTGCATGGCTGTGTTTCGGTTTGAAGGGTGGAAAATGGCAGTAATTTTACAGGGTACAGAGGAATAACATCTGAGTCCTCAGGAATGGCAACGCATGGGGGGTGTCATGGGCGAAACAGTATACTCTGTTATGTCTATGGTACTGCTCATGTCTATATGTATATCATGTCAAATAAATACACAATAAATACATATTACTGTATATACATATACTGTATATAAATACCAATAATGTATCTGTTTGACTTATTCGTATGACATAAATTGAGATCGTGAATTACATTTGCCGCAGTTAGCGGAATTGGCATTCCAAGAGATATGACCGTATTGCCATATTAATCGGTGTCTACAGACGGACAGGAAACGAGTGATGTATGGCCGAAATAAATCGACATCTGTTTTCACAGCGAGGAATGTGCGCCGTTTATATTTTACACTACGTAGTTTGTGTTATGTTATTTAAAACTATTACTGTGGGTAGGTACTGTTTTAATGTTACGCGCAAATTTATTTGGGACGATAATGAACAATAATAAATTTTTATTTCTCTTAAATATCTACTTTTTGAAATGGTACTACTAATGTAGTAAATTATGTCGTAGAATAGGCCATCCTTTCCTTTCCCGTGCATATCATAAGAACAGAAATAAGGGAGCTTATGGTGGAGAGTTTTTTTTTTGATGGGTGAAAATGGAATGGTAACCCCGTCTGTGCTAACGGAATACGCCAGCGGAGCACCAGTGAAGGGTGATATATGAGAATGAAAACAGGCCAGTTAGCCCATCATGATGAATTCATCAGGAATTAACCATGATAATTTCCAGGGGAAACCCCTGGTTGGGTATATTGCTAGCAATGGGATTCTCAGTCTTCATCACTAACAATCCCTTCCCTTTTCAAATTCAAATTCAAATTCAAATTCAAAAATCATTTATTCATGTAGGACATTTTAGCCGCTTATGAACGTCAAATTTTTACATTATAATTTTATATTTTCCCTACCGTCCAGTTCGGTATATAGATCCAATTGAGAAGAACTGGCAAGAAACTCAATTGAATTACTTTTTTTTTTAAAGCCAGTTTATTTACAATGTATATTTATATAGGTGTCTATGTCTAACATTAAATGAAAATTCAGTGCATGAACAACTATTGCCATGCACACTCGTCATTCAAGTAATCGTTTAGTGAGTAATAGGCTTTGCTCAGTAAATATGATTTAACAGATGTTTTGAATTTATTTAAGGGTAATTCCAACATATCCTTTGGTATCTTATTGTAAATTTTTATACCTATTCCCATAAAAGACCTATTAACTTTTTCTAAACGATACTTGGGGACAGCAAGTTTGTCTTTAAATCTAGTATTAATATTATGAATATTGCTGTTTTTTGGAAATAAGTCAAGATTTTTATGAACATATAGAATATTTGAATATATAAATTGAGAAGCAACGGTGAGAATATTTGCCTCTTTGAATTTCTCTCTTAATGAGTCACGACTCTTCATACAGTAGATCGCTCGAACGGCACGTTTTTGTAATATGAATATATTCTTAATATCTGCCGCTTTTCCTCATAGTAATATTCCATAAGAGAGTAAACTATGAAAATAACTAAAATAGACTAATCTAACAGTATCAGTATCAGTGTACTGTCTAACTTTACGCACGGCAAAAGCTGCTGAACTTAGTTTCGCTGCAAGGCTTTGAATTTGTGCACCCCATTGTGTTTTATTATCTAGTGTGATTCCTAGAAAGACAGTAGATTCTATAAATTCGAGAGATTCGTCATTTAATTTAATATTGCAATTAGTATTAAAACTTTTAGATAGAGAGAAATTAACACATTTTGTTTTTTTAGCGTTTAACATAAGATTGTTAGTTGTAAACCAGTGCAGGAGACGCCGCAAAGCACTATTTACATCGTCATAATTATTAGTCATTCTATTAACTTTAAAAATCAATGAAGTATCGTCTGCAAACAATACTATGCCGCATCTATCCTGCATGGCATATGGGAGATCATTAATGTAAACTAGGAATAAAAATGGACCGAGAATAGATCCTTGAGGTACACCCATTTGCACAAGTGACCCGTCAGACGTAGCGTTGCTAATCTTCACTTTCTGTATTCTATCAGATAGATAAGATTTTATTAAATTTAAAGCATTGTCTTTGACGCCATAAAAAGCAAGTTTTTTTAGCAATGTATTATGATCAACGCAATCAAAAGCCTTAGAAAGGTCAACAGGTTTTATGGTGGAGGGTAAGGTAGTAGCGTTCCTCTTAAAACATCACCAAAAGTCAAGCGTGGCAACTACTGGCAAAACCCCACTTATGGGGAGGGAGGCTATGTCCAGCAGTGGATAGTTAACGGTTGATACAACAATATAGTAAAATTGACAGACGATGTCTGTAAATTAGAGATATTTAATAAAAATTTATATGAAGGGGTTTAATAAGATAAATAGAGTCCAAAAGCAATCATTTTTAGAAATTTTGTCTGTTTCCCTTTATGTTTGATTCGGTACCACGTAAAAAGTACTACAACAAATTAGATGCAGTTTTCACAGTTGTTTTTGAAGGTGTAACTTAAATTATGGTGTATATTTTATCTTGATACGCCATCTAGGAGTAGTTTTTATTATTATTTCAGCCGTTCCCCATAAAGGGAGTTTTGCCAGTAGTTGTCACGCTTGGCAGGCGGGTTGGCAACCGCAGTTAGGCTTTTACATATGTTATAAGAGGGACGCCGCTGCCCATCCCTCTACCATATGGTCCCTTAGTCGCCTCTTACGACACGGGAAAGGAAGGGGCGGTCCATTCTATGCCGGGACTCACACGGCGAGAAGTGTTTTATATCATTGCTTTTCCTACTTCTGAAGTCCACGTGTACGAAGCAGCGTGCGAAAAATCAGTGGTAAATAAACTTAATTGATCACTAATTGATATTTATATCCATTTTTGTATACATTTAGATTGTTTGTTTAGATCTGACCACGTCAGTCAAATGTTGTTTAACACATATTTTTCCAAAACAAAACAAAGTGTGGCATTTTTCAAGAGTGCTAGTAATAACTAAGTACGGTAATCCTATTTACATGAACATTGACAAATCTTGATTTATAACACAAATTCACTCATATCAGAATACAAAAGTTTTATTGTTTTTGGCGAAGCGTTTGTAATTCACATACCCTTAAATTACCGTTACACAGATGCAATAATCTATTAAATTAATATTAACTTACCGTATATTCAGATAATGTCCTTTCAGAAGGAGCTCGGTGGCTGTCATTTTCGTCTCTGGATGATGCTCTAGGCAAATATCCACCAGACGACGGTGAGTCTACGCCAGATCTGTGCGTAGCCACATAGTGGTTATTTTTTATTTTGTGCGCCATCTTTATTTTCTACAACCCTAAGTAACACTCACGGACATTTTCAAATATCGAATCAACTCGGCGCCGTTGCCCGTGACATTATGTTTTTTTTTTACTTTTTTTTCTTTTTAATCAGTACGATGTTTCGGCGTGTGGCCAGTATTAATGTCTAATCAGTCATCGTTCGTTCCAATTTCAATTTGTTTTTCAATGATTGGATCTTGATTTCCACTAGAATCTGGTGCAACTATTCTTTGTAGGTTACCAGTACAACGTGGATCTGTAACAAAGGAATAAACTGGTTAGCTTTATGGAATTTTATTGTTTATTTGACCTTTCTTTCGGCCAACCTTCAATTTATACATTAATTTTGTGGTCATAGATTCTGACCTATTCGATTCAATCAGCCGATCAAAATTGGAATGTGAGTTATAATTTTAGAATGATTACCGATAACACATAGAGAGTAAAAGCTAAATAAGGTTGCTTTCACTGTAGGTACCTACCTATTTGGAAATAAAGATGCCCTGTAATGATCATTCGAATGGTTCATATTCTTATCATTAATCGATTCTACTGTTTCCGTATAATGAAATCGTGATCTGATGGAATTGAACAAAAACTGACTGACATATCAGGGTTGCTATAATTAAGAACAATAGTTGAAACATTTAGGTCACAGAGTAAGTACATCAAGCATTGTATACTGTTATATGTATATATATTTTCTTTAATGAAATTAGCGTCATATTTTAAAAAAACATTTGTTGAATATGTAATCAAGCTATTAATTATAGTTTTTAAAGAATATATTTTTGTATAAATAAATTGATAACTCCCTTCTTTATAAAAACTGAGACTTCCTACAAACCTATTTTAGCCACTGAACTGTTTTGTCACTTTTTTCAAATTGAAGATTTTGCCCAAAAGAACAAGACAAAACACTTCAATAACTAAAATAGGTTTCTGAGATGTATATAATTTTTATGAATAAGTAGGTAAGCTGCTAAATAATAATATATACTGTATCAAGTTATTATTAGAAACTAGCTTTTATCTGCGACTGCGTCCGCGTGATTGAGATAAAAACTAGCCTATATCCTTCTCCATCTCATACAGAAGATATATACTAAATATCATTGTGATTGGGTGAACCGTTAAGCCGTTGTAAGGTAACAAACAAACAAACTCATTTTTAAACGGTTTTTTCACATTTATAATATTAGTAAGGATAGTAAGAATTCATTATTCTGTGTCTGATTGGAGATAAACGGACAGAAAAATAAGTTTTATCTTAATTCAAATTGTTAAACGGCCAGTAATCCCATAAAAATATGTTCAAACTCGCTTAAGGGATAAAATTTTATTATATTATATCAGATCAAATTTCAAAACCATAGATAAATCATTTAGTTATAAAGCATAGATCATATACGTCTAAATGGAGTGTCTCCCCAGAAATGCATCGACAAAACGGCCCAACTTTTCTTCGGAATCTTGTAATCTTTTATCACATAAACCATCATTATGTTTATATTTATTATATTGCAACACTATCAGACTTTATAAAAATAAAGGGTTAGCAAAAATTTTATGAATAGTTTTTGACAACTACTTATCTACTATATTATCTAGATTGAGTATTACACCCTTATCTATAAAAACTATAACCTTTATAAAACTTTTTTAACTATTATACTTTTTGTCACTTTCTTTCAAATTAGGAATTTAGCATAAAAGAAAGAGATAAAACAGTTTAATTACTAAAATAGGTTTATAAGAGATTTGACGATTTTATGATTATGGGAGTTATATAATATATTCAGACATAATTTGGGAATTTTTTTAATACATTTACTTACAACACTAAATAAATGCGTTTTGTTTTGATTTCAAAAATATCTAGTTAGTCAAATGTCAAATTAGCTGACTAAATTCTGACATGATTTTGATACTCGATGCTCTATCTATATAATGTAAGCACTAGATATTTTAGTCGTTTATCTTTTTAGATATACAGGACAGCACATTAAATGGTATTTTGTTTTTTCGTACGTCATTTGATATTTTTCGCTCCATCTACAGTATACGATCTATAAAAAAACACTGAATATACCTGTCGCTTACCTTTCTAGATGTAGGGTACAGTAACATTTAATTTCGGGAAAAGAAGTTGTCACTTACGTGGTCTAATAGCCTCATTACTGGCAATAATGTCAGGTCGACCTCCTCGTGGTTCTTCCTGGAAACCATCTTGATAAATTCTTGTTGAATCACGATGGGTTAATTGACCCTTTTACATCCTCACCTATCATATTACACTAATGTCTCGCCTGCGTATCAGTATACGCAGGCGGGGTTACCATTCTATTTTCATTCCATAAAAAAGTACCATGTAATAAATAAATGGATTCAGTTTTTGGGACGTTTTTTGACTCGATGCTCCATCTACAAATATATGATCTATGGAAATCACTGAATATTTCTCTCGCTTATCTCTTTAGATATACATTACAACAACATCATATTAAATTGTATTCCGAGTAAAGTCAAGCTTTAATTAGCTTTAAAATTAATAGAAAACGTGGCGACGGCTTCCGTCGTGATAGTTCGAGAAACGGGCCGGCGTCTTGGGTGGTGTGCGGCGTTTTATTACTGTTTACATTTATTTATTCACTGTCCACTTTTATTCTTGTTACTTTGTAATTAAATTCAAAATTGGAAAGGATTGTTGCACGGCACAATGTTTAAACAATTTGAAGGTTCTTAAAAAATAAATAAAAAAGAAAAATATACATGTAAACTGAATTACATATATGTTTTTTTTTTAATACCGTCCAGTTTGGAATGCAGTTCCAGATTTTTTTTTATTTGTAATGCGGTTATGTCGCCTGTTCTAAACCGATTTTGAGAATACTTTTTGAAGGTAGGGTTTGCTTCCATATTGGTTTCGTATTAATTTTGAATTTGCTATTTTATGAATAATTTTGTTTTCGTCAATTTAATGTAAGCGAGTTTTGATGATTTTTTTTTATAATCGGAAGAATCAGTTCCGTAGTAATTTAAGACGGTAAATGCCACTTCCTGTTACGTGAGCTGTCAGTTTGTTATTAAGATATATGAGTAAACATTATAAAGAGGAAAGATTTGATTGTTTATTTGTTTGTTTGTAACGGATAAACTATTTTAACTATTTTATTTAGAATTGCGAGATATTAGTTAATTTAAAATATTTGCCCGATATTTAATATATTTAAATTCCTGTAAATATATTTTAAATTCCTGTCTGCTGATAAAATACCTATTGCATAGTGTAAGTACATAAAATTCTTTAGCTACTACTAGAACCTTGAACGGTATTCGATAACATTGTCCATTACTTGTACCCTTAATCCTTTAATAATAAAGGCTAAATTCCATCGATAAATCAATGAGATAATTCTGTAAACTCCACATAAAACAATGGCAACAATAGCGTGTCGATCGTCGGAATCGATTATTGTGACGCAAGGTATCGCGCACTCGATTCGATTTATATCGAATAGGTACTAAACTATTTACGATATGCTAAATCGCTTGTTACGTTACAGTCATAACTTGCAATTTCATATTTTTGTTGGCAATGATTGTACAAATGTATTTGGTAATAAAAAAAAAACATACCTCTTTTATAGGGGGAAAAGGGATTGTTAGTAATGGAGACTGAGCTATTGCTAGCAATATACCCAACTAGGTCGACCTCCTCGCGGTTCCCCCTGGAAACTATCATGGTTAATTCCTGATGAATTCATCATGATGGGCTAACTGGCCTGTTTTCATTCTCATCTATCACCCTTCACTGGTGCTTCGCCAGCGTATCCCGTTAGCGCAGGCAGGGCTACCATACCATTTTCACCCATAAAAAAAAAACTCCTTTATACGAAGGAATCAGTGTAAATATTACTTTCAATGCTTTAATATTAATGTATAAATATTCATTATAAGTAATTTTGATTTATCGAAGTCGTTATTTAAGATTTTTTTGCATTCTTATATTGTCACATCAAACGAATATTAATTTACGAATTTAGAGGTGTTTTATTTCTTCAAGAATTAAAACATTAATTTGGGTAGGTTTAGATAAAAAGAACAACATATAAACTACGTCTGAAATTGAATGGCGAATGCGGTGCAGCAGGAAAACTTTTACCAGAGGGAGACTTTGTACAAAAGTCGATTGCTTGGGTACCTCTGTCCCATTCGTGTTTCAACCGTGAAGCAGTTGTGTTTGCATGGCTGTGTTTCGGTTTGAAGGGTGGGATATGGCGTGAATCTACTGGGTACAGAGGAATAACACCTGAGTCCTCAGGAATGGCAACGCATGGGTGGTATCATGGGCGAAACAGTATACTCTGTTATGTCCATGGTATTGCTCATGTCTATAGGCGACGGTTACCACTGTCCATCAGGTGGGCCGTCAGCTTGTTTGCTATTCTAAGTTGTATAAAAAAAAAAGAAACAACCTAAATAATAATTACGTATTATAAGTCACCATGTAGTCCCGGAATAGAATGTGCCACCCCTTCCTATCTCGTGGGTGTCGTAAAAGACGACTAAGGAAACTCAATGTTTAAGCAGTGGACAGCAGCGTCCCGCTTAAAACATCTCTAAAATCCTAACTGCGATTGCCAACTCGCCTGCCAAGCGTGGTAATTATCGGCTATACTTCTCTTATGGGAAAGGTTTATATTCAGCAATGTAAAGTTAACGGTTGAAATAACAGTAATTTTCACTTTTTTCATTTTTCAGTAGTGGGGGTTGCATCCTACGAAATCGTTCCAATCATTCTGTCGATGAACGGTTTTATCCCAACCAGTCTGGAACAACACCTCAGACGTTTGGGATTCCGAGGCGATTCATTTCCGGGAAAGATGCAGACAGCGATGTTCTTAGGTACTGCCCGCATTGTAAGCTGGTTTCTTTCCCTGGAGCCCGGAACTCTGGCCGACTGTGATTTTGCAGGGGGTCTTTTTTTTATGGGTGAAAATGGTTTGGTAACTCCGCCTGCGCTAACGGGATACGCTGGCGGAGCACCAGTGAAGGGTGAGAGATGAGAATGAAAACAGGCCAGTTAGCCCATCATGATGAATTCATCAGGAATTAATCATGATAGTTTCCAGGGAGAACCGCGAGGAGGTCGACCTGGTTGGGTATATTGCTAGCAATGAAATTCTCAGTCTCCATTACTAACAATCTCTTTCCCCCCTTTATAGGGGGTCAGTTTACCATCTCTCTTAAGAATTTTAATAAAGTTAAAAATAAATTACCTGCTTCTTAA